TGGCTAAATGACCTGCGTTCTGCCCCACAGCCGTGAGTCAACGACAGTTCCCAAACATACCATCAGACACCTTTCAGAGCCTTTCCCAGAAGAGCAAACCTGCAGAAGGGCATGTAGCAGCAGAACCTGCTGAACTCATGCTTTTCTGCATATTCTCCCATCAGCAATCTTTAAAAGCATCTTTTTTTTTTCAAGAGGTATTACATAGTTACATTATTAACAACATTAGCTGCTAGACCACAAAAAGGGGTTTTAATGCATGTTTTCAGTGATTTTGTTTATAGTCTGTTCCAAGAGGTTTAAGTATTCAGTCATTTATAGAATGTAAGAAATTTGGTTTGCAAAGAGTCACTGCCTTTTAATGTATAGTATTTTCTTGATAAAATAAATAATTGCATAACACACTAATATATAGTTGCTAGGGAATTGTGGGTGGTTGCTAGGTTGTTTCTATGCAGTTGCTAGGGTGTTGTGGGTGGTTGCTAGGTTGTTTCTACGCAGTTGCTAGGGTGTTGTGGGTGGTTGCTGGGGCGTTGCTAATGTGTTATGCAATGTCTAGGCTGTTGTGAGTAGTTGCTATGCAGTTTCTAAGATGTTGCGGGTATTTGTTAGTATTTTCTTGCAATGTAGTGGTATTGTGGGTGGTTGCTATGTTTTTTACGCAGTTGCTAGGGTGTTTTGAGTGGCTGGTAGGGCATTGCTATGCAGTTTCTAGGCTGTTGTAGGTGGTTACTAATCTGTTTCTACACAGTTGCTGTGGGTGGTTGCTAGGGCATTGTTATGCAGTTGCAAAAGTGTTGCTATACAGTTGCTAGGATGTTATGGGTGGTTGCTAGGGCATTTTTAAGGCAGTTGCTAGGGTCAAAAGAGTCCGGCCTTGTAAGTCTCTGTGATATTCTGATTTTTAAACGATTTGCAGTATATGGTGATATTCTGGTTTTTAAATGGTTTATATGGTGATATTCTTGTTTTCTGGTTGATAAGACTAGAGTCACTCCTTCAGTGTAAATCTGTGGGATTTTTCACCTGGTTATATTTTTTGGCAGAAAAAAAATCTCCAATTGCTTAAAAGAAACAAGCAAGCTCTTTTAAACTAAACTAATCCACCCATATTACATTTTTGATTCATCTGATATCTGAAACATTTTCTGAAATCAAAGATAGTTTTGATGTTTTATTCCTTTAACAAAAATGAACTATTTGATGTCTTACCTTTTCTAACGAACCATCGTTTCTATCCACTCTCCTGCTGGAGGAAAGTTGAGTCCTGTATCCAGAGGCGCAGTGGCCTCACACACTGGCAGATGAAGCGGGAACACAAAACGCTGAGAGGTGCTTTAGCTCCAAACACACGCTCTTTCTCGCTCTACTCACACTTGTCTGTGCTTGACATCAGGAGAAGCAGCAGCCCTCTGTACTCACACATACACAGCGGCTCTCTCACTGGGACCAGACCATAGGAAAGCAGTTTGGGCAAAGGGAGGTTTCCTGTCAGAGGGGAAAATAGAGTCAGGGAGGGGCAAACGACATGAGACTAGAATTTACACCCTCGGGATGGCAGTGCGATCCAGGCCACATTTCACGCCCGCTGGCCACCAGATCAGTGTAAACCTCCTCTTCAGGTCCACACATGTATATTTGAGTGTGTTGTGTGGGTGTGTAAACCACAGAAAAACATACACCATGTTTTCTTTAAGCTTAGACAGACTATAGACGCTGTGCTAAATGTAGCAGCTCAAATACTTTGTACGTATGGTCTAGTATTGTAGTTTATACACTATACAGTGGCCTCAAAAATATTTTTAACGTTTTAATGCCAAGGACCCAAAAATATGACATTCCCCATGTGAAAGACCCCCTTTGTAATACATGAAGGCTATGTAATTCAAACCCCATTTATACTGTAAGAAAATGAAGATAATTAAAAAAAAAAAACATTAAAGAATTGGTATGTTGTACTAAATTATTTAAATGTTATCTGTACTGTTAGATGTATAAACCTGCAGAGAACTCAATTCAAATTTATATATAATGCTTTTCACAACAAATATAGGTCCAAATCAGTTTTACAGAGAATACCAGTGAGCTGCTAAAGACAACAATGTTGAGGAAAAACTCTAGAAAGATCCAATACAAAAGCAAAAACTATTTATTGCATGGAAAAAAAAAAGTTTTTTTTTTTTTTACATTTATTTCTTAATTTATGTCTTTATTTGTTACTGATAAAAACTAAGGCTCTCAATGAAATAACAATTAATCATATGATTCATATGATGAAGTTTTTAGAAAGTAGAATGAAATGTTAAAATCATGTTACATTTTTTTTTCTCTAATTTTTTAAGCCACTCTAAAATTAAACTAAATTAATAAATAAATGTATTTTGCTTTATAAAACAAAATATTAAACCTTTACTTATTTTTAGTCATTTCAAAGAAAGCACAAACACAAAAACATTTAACAAAAATAAGTGTCATAGTTTTACATTTTCTCATACACACTACTGTTTAAAGTTTAAATAAAATAAATTACACTAATATTTTTAACACATGGATGCATTACATTGATCAGAAGTAAATACGTATCATTCTGTTTCAAATAAATGCTGTTCTTTCGAACTTTCTATTCATCAAAGAAAGTTCAAATGAAAAAGAGATTAAGAACTTTATGTTACAAAATGTTACAATAGTAAACAATTAGTTTAAATTGTAATAATGTTTCACAGTATTACTGTTTTAGTGTATTTGTAATGCATTGGTAATTTTAAATGTTCATTTTTCCCCCCAAAATTAAGAATCAATATTGTGCCACTTTGCATTTCTGAGAACATTAAAATCTCTAAAACACCAGCTGATTAAAATACTTTTTTGCATGATCAAGCCCTTCTCACTTTTTCTTCAGAAAACTCTTTAAACTATGTATGAATATTTATAAAGGAAGCCAAAATAAATGTCCTATACAACATGCAGAGCTCAAAAGTAATAGGTGGCAAATGTAAAACTGAACCCAGCCTCTTTATGCTTCGGTTTGTCTTCACTTTCAACATTCAAACACGCCCCTAAATGATGTGTCTTTCAGCGTGTGCAGGCTTGAATAAGGCCGACCGCCCAACCTCTGGGACGGGCCACGTCGAGCATGCCAGAAAGATCTGTCTGTTGAGGGTTAACCCTGCGGGGTGGAACAGGAAATGTCTGCAGTGGGCACAGCGCCTGACGCTTCAGGCTATGGCTGGATTAAAAGAGCTCTTTTTGTTCCCGTCTGACGAGAGTTAAACACCTGAAGCGACTCTTAACCGAATGGCGTCCTAAGCTTAGCAACAGCCAATGAAAACCTGTGAACCGTGCTCCTCAGATAAGTTGAGTCTGATGGAGATAAAAGGACATAATGTGGGCAGCATACTCACATCGGCAGGTGCATGCTGGGAAAAAGCTAAATACAAGTTGAGTTGAATTGCCCATTGAGATTGAACACCTTGAACATCATGCACCAGCATTCAAACCCTTAAAAAGGATTTTTCCCTAATTGGGATTCAAGTTTCTTCATAAGCAGCATATGTAATTTTCATGTTGTGCAATGTTTTTTTTGTTTACCAGAATATTCCTGTGTCCGGACAGGAATGAGGTTTGAGTCATTGCAAGGACGATGATTATGTGGTCACTGAAAATCCTGCATCCTCATACGCAATGCCAAAACATATGTAGCATTCTGGAAGCAAAATAAGATGTAAAATCTCTTGCCACATTGGCCACAAACTGAGACAAAAACAGACAATTTAGGAGGCAAAAGCATTTGAATTCCTTCTGTTTGTTAGTCCAATCTGAAGGTTCGGGTTAAAGGAATGTTTCACGCAAAATTTTAAATGTAAAACAGAGCCATTATTAAGGCGTTTTTACCTTTAATCCGCTGCTTCTGGCTTAAAAAAACAAGTCCTCTATCTATAATATTGCTTTCAACAGTGAAAAAAGTATTCTTATCTGAATCAGGGGAGAAATATGCACAGATCAAGCACCGTTTACAAGCATAAACAGTTAAAAACTGTTCTAAACAAATATGTTGGTGGATTTTGATGTGAGAGGACAACAGGGGATGGCCTTAATGATGGATTTGTCTCTTACAGACATGCAGATTTTTGTTTTACAAGACATTAATTGATGGACTGGAGTGATATGGATTACTGTTATGTTTTTATCAGCTGTTTGGACTCTCATTCTGACGGCACCCATTCACTGCAGAGGAGCCATTGGTGAGCAAATGATGTGATGCTATATTTCTACAATTCTATTATGATATAGAGACAAACTCATCTACATCTTGGATGGTCTGAGTACATTTTCAGCACATTTTCATTTTTTGGTGAACTACTACAAATTAGTACTAATTTGACAGCTCATTATACTGTACTATGCATACAGTTCGAGTTACTATGTAATTGTATATCTTTATCTCCAACAGCTTGCCATGTTAGAAGATTACTGTCCAATCCAATCCAGGACTGTTCTCTTAATTATTTATATGATCGTCTGAAATTATCACCAATCCTGATCTTATGAAACTTCAGCAATCAAAAAACATTAACAGTCATTAAACTGAAAACAATGTTTTGAATTGCACAAATAAAGGCTGTAAAGTACCAATATTTGCATATAAACATAATTATTGTGATTAAGAGATAGTTGTGGTTGAGAGATATTGACATTGCAATTAAGAGACAGAACAAATATTAAAAGTAAAAAGATGTGTTGTTTAAACAAACACAATGTCAACTTAAGGAACTCATCGATCAATGGTTATATCACCGTTTACTGCTTTTTCAAACCACTAGAGTAAACAGAAATAACTTTTCCCACACTTTTCCTAGAGATGATATTCAGAGCTCTTTCAGTCACCAACTAGCAACATTTAGTAAACTATGCATTACATTTTGCTCCATGACTGCATTACTTAATGAAAATTAATACTGCGCATTACAAAACCATATATTTGCAAGACAAACGTGAGTTTCTCATAAAAAAATTTTTTTCTTAGAGTATTCTTTGCGTCCACCGCTTGCTCCAAAGTTTCGCACGCGGTGTATTTTGGCGAGCTGGGTCTCTATTGTCTCTATGATGTTCATGTGGTCTGGGATGTGGACATAACGCACGTTTCGGCCCGTGATGAACAAGTCGTCCATACTGGACACACGTCCACGTCTGTCCCTGTACAGAACCTTCTCCAGCCGGATGTTCATGAAAGCGTCCACGTTAATAATGCGTCCCCTCGCCGTGCTCTCGTCTCGCAGGTCAACGGTGGTCACCTGGCCATGCAGACCCTGAAGAAGAATCACCAGACTGTTCTCGGCGATGGTGCGTTCACGAATGGAATGGCTCACGTCCATGTTCACCTGTGCACAGAGAAGTCATTAACATGTGGACAATGTCATCTGTCTTACAGTGGGAGTAATTTAACAACCAACCACTTTCTTTTTTGTTTCTTTTTATGACACCAAAGAAGATGAAAAGCAAACTTGTGATTCTCTGCCAATTAATTATAAAAAGGTAGCCCCAAATAAATGTATGATTTGTATTACACCATTAGCTACCTGCTCAACGTTTCTATTTAAATGTTTTTGAGCATGTGCACACTTCCACATAATTAATGATAATTACAGGTTTCTGAGAGGCTCTGCTGACAGACAAACCACAACATTGCATGGGAAATGTGCCAAATAAGTTTGTTGTCTAACCAGGTGTGATATAGAATGAAAAGCAATAATGTCAAATTCAGTAAAAATGAACTTTTATGGATAAATATGGATGTATTTATCTTATATAACAAAATATCAAAGTATTTAAAGCCATTTTAAAGCACAAAAACATACAACAAAAAGTAACACAAACATAAGTTACATTTCATATATATATATATATATATATATATATAACTTATATGCTATTGATATATTGAAATAGTGACTTGTTGCAAAGACTAAATAACTAACTTACCTAGATACATGCAAGAAAAATATTAGTATCGAGCGAAGTACTGTTTAACGAACAGTCACTAGTGATCACTGAAAACGATACTAGTCACGAATCACGAAAAGACGTTTGCAAATATTAAGCTTTCCTACAACTTTATCTTTAACGTCTTTATTGAGGCCATAGACTGCAGATTGAGGCACGCGAGATTTGTTTTCATTCAGAGAGGAAATAATTACAAAATAATGTAATTTTTAACGCAGAATCAGTCATAAATTCCACTTGAGGTAAAAGTATTTGTTTTATTACCTTGCTTTGTGTTGTCTAACATGCACAAAACATCATGTTTACATCCTGGTTTCGAGCGCCGCGCTTTGTCTCAGAGGAGAGTGACGTCATCAAGACGTTCCGGATTGAAATCGCTCGCGCTCCGTCTAGCGAGTTAAACGTAGGAGAAACTAGGGCTAGTTTTTCATCCTTTTTCAGTGATGATTTCTCAGGGTAAGTTTATTATTGAAAGTCAGCTATTTCAGCCGTTGATCAAGAAGAAAAAGGTTCACTGCTGTAGCGGGGCACGTTGTCACAATGGGCATCTGCTGTTGATTTGAGAATTGCTTTGTTTGATATATGAAATACTGTCTGGAAAAAGCAACATACCAGTAACGTTATTATGTTATTTAATGGCTAAATCGGAACAGTAAAAATACTAAAGATAACATGCAAAAATACCAAACTACTCTTGTGATTTAACTGTAGCTAATTATTTGTATCAAATGTTTTTTCTTCTCCCACAACCTTATTTGTTATGTGCTTACATTTTAGACTTTTATGTTAAAACATTATTGTACACAGTACATAGGCTATACATTAAAATGTACGTTGTTAAAAGTTTTGTGCTGACTTGGAAAACATAATACAGAGAATGTCAATTAATAGCCTAAAGAAAGAAAGAAAGAAATAAAAATAAATCTAACCCATGTGACATCTTGCCCCAATCTGACATGTATAAATTATCCTGAGAACACAGTTCAACATTTCAGTCTCTTTATATTGAAGGTGATATTGTTGACACTTGTCTGAATGTATGTTGGTGTGGTTTTCTGTCAGCAGAATGAAACGCCTTCAGTCTGTTCCACTGAACTCAAAATGATTGACTTTCATTTTGCTGCAAAGAAACTAGATAAAGAGATAAATCAGTCATTGTCCGTCAATCAAATAAGACATATTAAACTGACATTATAGACGCAAGTGTTTTATGAAAACGAATTCAGAAGAAACGGTCAACATTTTTAATTTTCAACATTTTTTCAAACATTTTTTCAACCAGTTTAAAGTTTAAAACATCACATAATTTAGGAAATCATAAACACAACCCATTAGAATGCGATTTTGCTTCCAGCTTGTTCTTAATCATGTTTTGAACGTATAAATGCCAGGCATTTCCAAACCTACCATATTTTTCTGTAACCTTTCAGAATTACCACATGTATCCTGACACACAGTCTACAGTCACTGACCTTTAGAGCTCATCCATCATAGCCAGCAAGTCGTTCCCGGGTCCCTCTGTCAGGCCTCCCCCTTCATCAAATTGTCCTGCTATGCGTGCCAGCTCAGTACTGGCCAGCTGATCCTGAGAATACCAAGGTAAACATTTTTTAAAAAGTGATTTATTTTGAGCCATTTACTGAAACTTAGAGTTTGGTGTTAATAAATTATTATTAGTAAATTTATGAGAGTGTCACTAATGTAAAAAAAAAAAAGGTATCTAATGATGTGGTTTGAGATTACCACAAACTCAGTATGTACTTATATGTACTTAACTGTGTCTAGGGCAGGTAATGCTAAAATATTATTCCAAACTCATAAAACATTCCTGAATTACCATTGCTGAATGGTTGCTTCTTTTGGTGTTAACTTCCCAGTAACTTAAATTTGATAGGAATTAAAATCATATGCCAAAAAGCTCTAAATTAAGCTCGCCCCTGGAGCAATGCTGCTGTTTCTTAGTAAATGATAGTAGATTTTACTAGTAGCATTCCCAGCCCTGGGCAACAACATAACGTAAACGAGGACATGAGCAGATTTGTAAAGTGCATGGCACAGCACCTGCGTGGCTTGTATGTTAAAGACTCTAGATGACTGATGTGCCGTTTCTTCTGAAATTCCACTGAAAAACATTTTAAGAGATTGGTTATTTAAAATAACAAAAATGTTTACCTGTGATTTTCAATCAGCCCTTTGTGAAAAAAAAACAAAACTACATACTACCCAACTTATTTTGTTATTTATTTCTTTATTCTTTGCAAGACATTTGCAAGTTTTTTCTATATTGGATTGTAGGTAAATATCCAACTCACCCAACACTCTTTTTTTCTTATAAAATATCTCATTATTATTTCGCTGTGAGAAACCACTCGCTAATGAATCAAACTGAATCACAAACAATTTCTGAACTTTACGAATCTGGTATCACTAGTTCTTTTTCTAAACAGCTGACAGAAAGAACACATGACTTGATTATTGAAATATATAATACAAAATTATTCTCAGGTCAATTCACATTCACATATAAAGATTTACCAATATTGGGGCTTGTACCCAAACATATCTAGCAACACTCCATATTGTGTGTATGTGCATTTTTGTCATTTTGTATTAGTTTTTTTTTTTTTGTATGTATGCCTCTAAACTCCGCCATTGCCGGTCCCAAGGCCGGATGTAAAAGGAGGAGGGTTGGGCGAAGGGCTAGCAACCCCTCCCCGTAAAAAAGATCTTGCTACAGGAACGCCAACAAGGATTTCAACTGACCTATCAGTTCTGGGAGAGGCCGGGTAATAAAAGCCAGACACTGGAAGCTACCAGGAAAAAGACCATAATTTCCACCAGGACCACCACCATCAACGGAACATGGAATGTGCGCACCATGTTCGAATCTGGAAAGACAGCACAGGTGGCAGTGGAAATGAGGAATTATAACATCAGCATCCTTGGCGTCAGCGAGACCAGATGGATAGACTCCGGCCAGAAAAGGCTCGCCACTGGAGAATTACTGCTGTTCTCAGGACATGAGGAAGAAAATGCGTCACACACCCAGGGAGTGGCCTTCATGCTTTCCAAGACTGCACAGAGAGCACTCATTGGATGGGAGGCACATGGACCAAGACTCATCACTGCTAATGAGGCGATGAAGAAAACCTGCCAAGAAGTCTTGGGCCCACTAAAATACAATCACAAGGAGTGGATCCAGGAAGACCCTTTGAAGAAAATAGAACAGAAAAAATAAGAAAGCGGAAATAAACAACAGCCGCACACGTGCAGAGAAAGCCAAGGCACAGGAACAATATACACAAGCAAACAAGAGTGTCATGTAGAGACCCTAATAGCAGAAGCAGAAGAAGCAGACAGAAATAGAAACATTAAAGACTTGTGCCACCACCAAAAAGTTAGCTGGAAAGTTTAGTAAACCAGAAAGACCAGTAAAAGACAAGGATGGAAAACAGATAAATGACCCCAGGGAGTGGCCTTCATGCTTTCCAAGACTGCACAGAGAGCACTCATTGGATGGGAGGCACATGGACCAAGACTCATCACTGCTTCATTTAGAACTAAGAAGAGAAGACTAAACATGAATATTATCCAGTGTTATGCCCCAACAAATGACAGCGAGGAAGATAAGGAAGACTTTTACAACAGATTGCAGACCATCATTGACAGTCACTCAGGAAGAGACATCACCATGGTAATGGGAGACTTTAATGCAAAGATCGGGCGAGACAACTTGGGATATGAGGAGGTCATGGGACGAGAGGGCTTGGGGGAGATGAATGAAAATGGAGAGAGGTTAGCTGACATTTGCACTGTAAAAAATCTAGTCATAGGAGGAAGCGTCTTCCCTCACAGACAAATACACAAGGCTACCTGGATATCACCGGACCTCTCCACCGAGAATCAGATTGACCATGTATGTATTACCAAGAAATTTAGGAGGTCCCTCCAAGTGCATGTCAGACGAGGCGCTGACGTTGCTTCGGACCACCATCCCCTTGTCGCCCGTGTAAAGCTGAAACTTAGGGGAAATTGGACAAGGGAGTCAAATCGGAAATATAGATTCAACACAGCACTTCTGAGGGATTCAACCAAACTGGAGGGATTTAAAATGACACTTGCGAACAAATTTCAAGTCCTGCAAGAACAAATGGAAGAAGATGATGAAGAGGAAACGGTAGACAAGAAATGGAAGACGGTAAATGAGGCGATGAAGAAAACCTGCCAAGAAGTCTTGGGCCCACTAAAATACAATCACAAGGAGTGGATCTAGGAAGACCCTTTGAAGAAAATAGAACAGAAAAAATAAGAAAGCGGAAATAAACAACAGCCGCACACGTGCAGAGAAAGCCAAGGCACAGGAACAATATACACAAGCAAACAAGAGTGTCATGTAGAGACCCTAATAGCAGAAGCAGAAGAAGCAGACAGAAATAGAAACATTAAAGACTTGTGCCACCACCAAAAAGTTAGCTGGAAAGTTTAGTAAACCAGAAAGACCAGTAAAAGACAAGGAAGGAAAACAGATAAATGATGATGAAGGACAGAAGAGAAGATGGGCTGAACACTTTGAGGAGCTGTTTAACAGGCCAGCCCCACAGGACCCACCAGATATCCAACCAGCAGATAGAGATTTGCCAATAGACGGTAGTGCACCAACAAAGGAAGAAATCTGTAAAGCCATTATGAAATTGAAAAGCGGTAAGGCAGTAGGACCCAACAGTATTCCAGCAGAGGCATTAAAGGCTGACACAGAGACTTCAGTAGAGATACTCCACCCCCTTTTTAATAAGATCTGGGAAGAAGAACAAGTACCCACAGAATGGAAAGAGGGTTATCTCATTAAGATACCAAAGAAAGGCAACTTGAGCTCCTGTTCTAACTATAGAGGGATTATACTACTATCCATCCCAGGGAAGGTTTTTAATAGGATTCTACTGGAAAGGATGAAGGACGTTGTCGACCCCCAGCTACGAAACCAACAGGCTGGCTTTCGCAAAGATAGATCATGCACGGACCAGATCGCAACTCTGCGCATCATCCTGGAACAGTCTCTCGAGTGGAACTCATCCCTGTACATCAATTTTATTGACTTCGAGAAGGCGTTCGATAGCGTGGACAGGGCATCACTTTGGAGGCTGCTTAGACATTACGGGGTGCTGGAGAAAATCACTAACATCATCAGGAACTCTTACGAGGGACTGACTTGTAGAGTGGTCCACAGCGGTCAACTCACAGACGCCTTCCTGGTACAAACAGGAGTGCGGCAGGGTTGTTTGTTGTCGCCGTTTTTGTTCCTGCTGGCCATTGATTGGGTCATGAAAACATCCACAGCGGAAAAGCGAAACGGCATC